TGATCGGCTGCAGCCCGCAACCTGGGCATGTGCCCTGACTGGGAATCGAACCCTGATCGCCTGGATCCTAGGTCGACGCTTAACCACTGAGCCACGCCCGGCCGGGCTCCAGGATTTTTATGGTTTCGTGACTTACATTTAAGTCTTTTATCCATTTTGAGTTTATTTTTGTGTATGGTGAAAATTGGCGGTCTAGTTTCATTTTTTTGCATGTACCTGTCCAATTTTCCCAGCACCACTTATTGAAGAGACTGTCTTTACTCCATTGTGTGCTTTTGCCTCCTTTGTCAAATATTAACTGACCATAATGGCGTGGGTCTATTTCTGGGGGGACTCTGTTCTGTTCCACTGATCCATATGTCTGGTGTTGTACAAAAACCAGGCTGTTTTGATTACAATGGCTTTGTAGTACAGTTTGATATCCGGTATTGTGATCCCTCCCACTCTGTTCTTTTTTTCTCAAGATGGCTGCAGCTATTCTGGGTCTTTTTTGGTTCCATATAATCAATTACTCATTTAAAAGGATTTTTCTTCTTCTAGTTAACAAAGTATTATGTTCATTGAGAAAAGTGAGCAAATCACAAGTTAAAAAAATAACAATCATCCATAAACCCACTAAGATGACTATCAGTATTATATTTTGGTATATATTACTTTAAGCATTTTGCACTTTTACATGTAAATGTTTTTACTGTCATAAGATAATAATCATGCTCCCTTTGCTATGGTTTTTCATGTAAAATTATAAAATCACGATACAGCAAAGCACCCACAAACTTGCTATCTACATTTGACAACAGTTAACATGTTTATATTTGCATTAAAGTTTTTTATTTAACAAAGATAGAATACTATGAGTAAACTTAAACTATATTTTCCTCACTGTTCCTATATCATTCCCTATATACAATGATGAATTTAGTGTTTCTTTTCCTTAATTCCCTGACAGTAAAAACAAAACACAGCTGCCCTAGCGGGTTTGGCTCAGTGGTTAAGAGTGCCGGCCTGTGGACTGAAGGGTCCAGGGTTCAATTCCAGCCGAGGGCATGTACCTTGGCTGCAGGCTCGATCCCCAGCCCCAGCAGGGGTGTGAACAAGAGGCAACCAATTGATGTTTCTCTCTCTTTCCCTTCTACTCTCTCTGAAAAGCAGTAGAAAAAACATCCTTGGGTGAGGACAAAAAAAACTTTTTAAACAAGACACAGCTTTAATTGCTTTATAGATAATTTATTTTTATTGTTGACACTCTTACAGATGTCCCCCATTTCTCCCCTTTGATCACCACTACCCAGCTCCCACCCTGCTCCTCTGGCCAGCACCACACTGCTGTGTGTGTCCACGGGCTATGCATATATGTTCTTTGGCTAATCCCTTCACCTTCCTTTATCCAATCCTCCCACCCTCCTCCCTATTTTTTTATATACTTTTACTCAACAAGCAGTAACATTTTGTCATATTTACTTTGTATTATTTACTATTTTACATATTTATTCTCTCTGTTGTTTATGTATGTGAATAAATATATGAGTACACACATATATACATGTATACACATCTATATACAAACACATGCATGGGCATCTGTACCGCAACTATTTAAGAGTTATATGCAGACATTAGGGCCCTTTATCCCTAAATAATTCACTCTGAATTTCCTAGGATTAACTGTATTCTCTCATGTAATCAAGTACCATCAAATTCAGGAGACTTAGTCCTAATATAATATCTAAATATACAATCCAGTTTCAAGTTTTGTCAATTATCTCCAAAATATCCTCTATGGCAATTTCTCCCTGGTCTGGGATCTAATGTATTATCATGCATTACATTTGGATGTCATGTGTCTTTAGTCTCCTGTACCTTGAACAGTTCCTTAGCCTGTCTTTGTCTTTTACAACATTGATTAGATTCACATTGAGCACTTCAGGCAGGAATACTATGAAAGTGATAGTGTTTTCAGTAGATCACATAGAGAGGCACATGATGTTATTTTATCCATTGATTGGTGACAGTAACTTTGATCATTTTTCCAAGATGGTATCTGCCAAAGTTCTCAACTATAAAGGTACCTTTTTGCCCTTTGCAATTAATAAGTAGTCTGTGGCAACATACTTTGATATCGTATATTCTGTTCCCTAACATACTTTTTACCCAATGGTTTTATCTTCCACTGCTGAATCTGAGTGAGTCAAATACTATTATGAAGCTAGAAAATGGTAATTCTAATATGCATATATATGTTTATTGCTTGGCATTCAACTGTAAAAACCCTCTTTCTCTATTATTAACATGTACTCAGGGATTCTTATTCAATTCAATGAATACTGTTAACATTCATTTTGATACTTAAGTTGTACCATATTTGGCCAGTGAGAGTCCCTTCAAACTAGCTGTTGTGGTACTGAACTGGAATTAGAGGTATCAGTATGATCTTTCCATAGTGTGTTAAGCCATTCTTCCTATTCCCTCTCCATCACCTCTGCCTATTGAAAGGGCCTAGGAACAATGACTAATGTAGCAATGACCAGTACCCAGATCTTAATTTCTGAATAGTAATCTCCACTAAAAGGAACCAGGACTCCTTAGAGAAAGGGCTAAGCAATGAAATTACAAAATAAACCTGAGAACATTATGTTATGCCAGAAAGTAAGAAACTGCTTAAAAAAAAAAAAAAAGATAAACATGCATTTTGCTTTTCAAATTTTAATATTTTGTATTTGACTTACCTATATAGATACATTAAGATCTTACCTAATGATTTCAACTGCTAGACAGAATTACATTATAGAAATAAATCACAATTCATTTTCCATTCCACTACTGGAAAGCATTTGATTTTTTTCTAGTAATGATGCAATTAACATCCATATATCTGTTTCTTTTTGCACATTTGTGAGAATTTATGAAGAACAAAAAAGTGATTTTCACCCAAGAACTTTTAAATTCATTCTTTCTATTGAATGAACCAAAGGGTTCACAGTTTGAACCCCTCTTGCTTGATTGTTTTTCTGTTCCATGTCTAGCACATGAAGATGTTTCTAATGAATCCCCCTGCTCTCATTACCCAGTTTCAATAATTAACACATGATTCAACTTGGTTCACTTATCCTTCATTCATGTCCACTAGATTATTCTGATGATTAAGCTTTTTAGTTTTCTCTTTCCATGTTTTATCTAACATTGCCATAGATTTATAGTAACAGAGAGGATAGCAAAACACCAACTCAAAGTATCATTTTTACCATTACACTCTATTTCATTTTGAAATGATTCTTTTGAAATCCAGCTTTATTCAAGAGCCCACTGAGTATAGCTCTCATGGATTTCAAGCTCCAATAATTACTGTATTTTGACATAACAATACCTACATAATAATACATACCAAATGTTAGTCATGGTAGGAGTAGGAGTACCAATGTTATATCCCCAAATCCTTGCAGATTTACTTATGGTACTATATAGTTTATAAAGCATTTGTTCATTTAAAAAATATCGAGTGACTACTATATTTCAAGAATTATTTTACCTACATGTAGATACAGTGGTGAACAATTAGGATAATCTCTCTCTGTATATAAATACATAAATACTTTCATAAATATTCCTTTATTTGATCTTAGTTTAAATAGTACAGACATTTGTATTAGAATCATCTCAGAGATGACAAAACTTTGACTTAGAATGATAAGATTTTACCTAAGGGATATACAGCTAAGTAGTGGTTCATTAATGTACAAACAAGAGAAAAGTATATTCCAGTAAAAGAAAAATTATTTGCTATAGCTACTTAGCAGCAATACACTGGGAAACATATTCTCAGAAAATATTCTTTTCTGAAAGTATGAGTGCCTTTTGTCAAAAAAGAGCAGCTGAAAAACCTTCAGATAAAATTATAAAGTATTTAAATTGATTTCATAAAATAAAAATAATCAAGTAAGAATTCAAACATGGGATTTTACTGGATCCCTATCTTCTAAGACATTACACTTTAAAGACAGCAGCAACTTCTAAACAAAATAAAAACAACTAATATAAAAATACAATTTAAACCCAACAAACTGCCAAAACTACATGCTTTTTATGCAACGAAGAATAAGGTACATGTCAGGAGAATAAGCCATAGACTGAAAGAAAATATTTGCTGAACATATATCTGATAAAAACTGTTACTCAAAACATACAAAGAACTCTTAAAACTCAACAGTAAGAAAACAAACAACCCAATTTAAAAAAATGAGCCAATGACCTTAACAGACACCTCACCAGAGAAGATATACAGATGGCAAATAAGCACATGAAAAGATGCTCATGTTATCAGAGAAATAGAAATTAAAATGACAATGAGTAACCCCTAAAACCTATTAGAATGGCCAAAATCCAGAACACTGATAATACCAAATACTGGCAAAGATGTGGGGCAACAGGAATTCCCATCCATTACCGATGGAAACGCAAAATGGTATAGCCACTTTGGGACAGACAGTTTGGCAATTTCTTACAAAACTAAACATACTCTTACCATATGATTGTGCTCCTTGGTTTTTCCCAAAGGAATTGAAAACTGTGTCCATACAAAATCTGGCTTATGGATGTTTACAGCAGCCTTATTCATAACTGCCAAAACTTGGAAGCAACCAAGATATCCTTTAGTAGGTGAGTGGATAAACTGTGGAATGTCTAGAAAATGGATTATTCATTGGTAAAAAGAAAGGAGCTATTAAACCATGAAAAGATATGGAGGAAACTTAAATGTATATTACCAAACGAAGCCAATCTGAAAAGGCTCTATACTGTATGACTCCAACTACATGACATTCTGAAAAAGTCAAAACCAAGGAGAAAGAAAAAGAATAAGGTATAATCATATGCACATAATGACTTTTGGTCAAAGACAGACTGCATATATGATGGTGGTCCCATAAGTTAATAATGGAGCTGAGAAATTCCTTTTACCTAACGACATCATAGCCGTACATTGCAGAGCAATGCAATACATGTTTGTGGTGTGCTGATGTAAAAAACCTACTGCATGGCCAGTTGTATGAAAGTAGAGCACATGTAATTACAGTAGTAGGCAACACCATCTAGGTTTGTATAAGTACACTCTAAGATCTTCACACAGTGACAAAATTGCCTAATGATGCAATTCTCCAGAACATATCCCCATTGTTAAGCAGTACATGACTGCACAAAGTAGAATTCACGATGTCAATGGTAAAAATTCAGGTGACTTTGACGCATGCTAAAAATGAGAAAAACTTCTGTACCCATCTTAACTACTTACCTCTTGACTTTATCATAGTTCTCTTGACGGTAGTCACCTTGCTGAATTAACTGTTTTGTGTCTGCTAATTCTAAGGCCAAACGTTGACATCTATTTTGAAGCTCAGAGTAGTTTCTTCGATCTTCCTCATAAGTCTATCAAAACAATAATAGAAAATTTCAAACTAAACACAGTTGACCAAATTCTGTACTGAGTTCTTCTGTTAAGCTGTGAATGTCCTTGTAATAATAATAAAAAAAAATCCTTAATTTTTCTATTTAGTAATTTTTCTCTACTCAAAGACAGGTAAACTTAAACTTACAGAGTAGTTTGTAAGTCCATTTGTTTAAAACTTCAGCTCTGTTTTTCATAGAAAAAAATAGCACACTTATGTCCTGGTTACTAAAATAATATATACAACTACGAATGTTAAATGACATTCTTCAACATTTACCAAGTTACTATTAGATGCTTAAGACATGGAAATGAATAAAACATAGCCCCTGTTCTTAAGGAGTTCTCAATTTAGAGATGAAGAGCCACATGAATATCAAATATCTACAATGAAATGTAGTTACTGAAGAGATTAACAGGCAGTTTCAGTAAAAAAGGAATTTGTGGCACTTGGAACATATTTCTACACTGATCTTTCCTCCACTCACCAGACCAGTAGAAAGGAATTGTAGAGCTATGGGAGAAAGGTGCAAGTGAAAAACCTTAAAACCATAATCTGGTCCTGTTTATTATGAGCCTCATTTCTCATGTTCACACTTCACCCTTCAGCTATAATGAAGACCTGAAGTTCTCCAAAAGCACCAACTTTCCACTAACGTGTTCGCACTGCCTGAATAGCTGCATAGTATATGAATATTTGCCTCCTTCAGAAGAACACTAATCTCACTGTACCATCAAATTAGTACTCTATGTATCTTGCCAGAGTGTAAACATCTTAAGGGCAGAAACTTAAGTCTTATTCCCCACTGGATCTCCATCATTATACACAGTACTTGGTATACAGTAAAAACAAAATCAATACTTTTGAACAAATTAATTAAGAAATAAATGAATATAGAAATGGAAGAAGCATAACACAGGGATTGAGTTCTTATTTATTTCCTTCTTTGAACTTATAAGATCTCTACCCCAGAACCTGTCATGTTAAACACATCCTGTCCCAAGTCATTCCTTCTTAAATGGCTGACCAGCGAAGTGTAGTCACACTCATTCCATAAAAACTGACTGAATTATTTCTATGTGGCTGGTCCTGGGAGAGACACTGTAGATACAAAGATGAGTAAGACAGTGTCTTTTTTTAAAAAAAAAAAATGTTTTTATTGATTTTTCAGAGAGAAGAAGGGAGAAGGAGAGAGAGAAACATCGATCGGCTGCCTTCTGCATGCCCCCTGCTGGGGATCAAGCCCTCAACCCGGGCATGTGCCCTGTACTGGTGACCTCTTGGTTCATGGGCTGACAATCAACTCAGCCACACTAGCTGCGCAACAGTGTCTTTTTAAAACTATTTACACACAACTTTAAAATATCATAACTGCTCCTCCCAAAGAATATAAAATGTCATCCTCCAAATTTCTATCGAAGGGTTATTTGAAAATGTAATTATGGAAAAACTGTATTTGATGTGTTTTGCTTTAGTGTAGTACTATGTTCTTCTAAACTGATATTCTCCATGAGACAGAAATTTATTATGGTATTTATTAAAGAATCACAGCTGAGGATACTCCATCATCATCATCATCATTTCAGGAAACCATTTCTTTGTTCATTCCGTAAGAAGAAACACCTCATCCATTCAAGTTTTATCATGAGATAGCAGCAATTCAGTCACATCTTTAGGCTTTACTTCTAAGTCTACTTCTCCTGCTATTTCCACCACATCTGCAATTACTTCCTCCACTGAAGTCTTCCTCCACAAAGTCATCCATAAAAGTTGGAAGAAGCTTCTTCCAAAATTCTGTTATTGTCTGATACTCTGATCTCTTCCCATGAATCACGAATGTTCTTAAATGGCATCTAGAATGGTGAATCCTTTCCAGGTTTTCAATTTACTTAGGTCAGACCTATCACAGGAATCGCTATCTATGGCACCTAAAGCCTTAAGAAATGTATATCTTAAATAAAATGAGACTTGAAAATTGAAATTCCTCCTTGATCCATGGGCTGCAGAATGAATGTTGTGCTTACAAACATGAAAACAACATTAATCTAGTTGCCCATCTCCACCTGAGCTCACATGCATTACCAATGAGCAGTAATATTTTCCAAGGAATCTTTTTTCTAAGCAATAGGTGTCAATGATGGGTTTATAACACTAGAAAACCTGTTGTAAACAGATATGCTGTTATTTAGGCTTTGTTTTTCCATTTATAGAGCACAGGCACAGTAGATTCAGCATAATTCTTAAAGACCACAGAATTTCTGGAATGGTAAATAAGAATTAGCTTCAACTTAAAGTTACCAATTGCATTAGTGCCTAACAAGAGAGTCAGTCTATGCTTTGTAGCTTTGAAGTCAGGCACTGACTTCTCTTCTACAACTATGAAAGTCTTAGATGGCATCTTCTTCCAATATAAGGCTGTTCCTCCTACATTGAAAATCTGTTTTTTAGTGTAGCCAACTTCATTAATTATCTTAACTAGAGCTTCTGGATAACTTACTACAGCTTCTACATCAGTACTTGCTGTTAACCTTGCACTTTAAAGATATAGAGACAGCTTCTTTCCTTAAACCTCATGAACCAACCTCTGCTAGCTTCAAACTTTTTCTTCTGCAGCTTCCTCAACTCTCTCAGCCTTCACAGAATTAAAGAGAGTTAGGGCTTTGCTCTGGATTAGTCTTTGGCTTAAGGGAATGTTGTGGTTGGTTTGATCTTCTGTCCATTTCACTAAAACTTTACACTTATCTGTGATAAGGCTGTTTCTGCCTTCTCATCATTCATGTATTCACTGAGTGGCACTTTTAATTTCCTTTAAGAACTTTTTCTTTGCATTTACAACTTGGCTAACTGTTTGATGCAAGAGGTCTAGCTTTTGACCTAGCTTTCTTGGCTTATGACATGCTTTCCTGAATTTAATCATTTCGAGCTTTTTATTTAAAGTAAGAGATGTGAGACTGTTCCTTTCACTTGAACATTTAGAGGCCATTATAGAATCATTAATTGGCCTAGTTTCAATATTGTTGTGTTTTAGGCAACAGGAGAGAGGCCCAAGGAGAGAAAGAAAGAGAGATGGGGAAATGGCTGGTTGGTGAAGCAGTCAGAACATACATGTTTATCAATTAAGTTCGCTGTATTATATGGACATGGTTTGTGGGACTCTAAAACAATCACAATAGTAACATCAAAAATCACTGATCACACATCACCATAAAAAATATCATAATAATGAAAAAGTTTTAAATATTGTGAGATTTACCAAAATGTGACACAGAGACACTAAGTGAGCAAATGCTATTGAAAAATGGTGCCAACTTGCTTGATACAAGGCTGCCACAAAATTCAATTTCTGAAAAACAGTATCTGCAAAGCACAAAGTGAAGTACAATAAAATGAGGTACTCTGTATTAAAAACAAATCCGAAGCCTGTAGATAGCGCTTACCAATTTGTTATAAGCCATAGAACTACTCTTTACCCCACTGCTTCACACTTACATTGCCCACTTGATTTCTAAAGGCATATGATTTTTCCATTCCTTGAAAGCAAAACTCTTACCACTATAAATAGTAATAACAACCAAAACAGAATGAGTGCAGATATAAAAATGTTTGTAGGTTTGTGGTAGGAAATTGTGGGAGTTTCATCTGAGGATTTCTATTTTCTCTGTGAAATGGAATACTACCATATCATCTTCTGAGAGTGAGAAAGTGGTGAATGTATAAAATTACCTGTGAAAATAAGAGATCTAGAAAAAAGAATTTCAGCACAATTTTGTGGGCCCATTTGAGGTTGGTTAACAATAAACTCATGGTGCTTGTCACTACCTAAGTGATTCTCTCTAGTACTGCTCAGTCAGAAAAATGAAGCATGAGGTTCTGTCAGGCAGAGTGTGATAAGAAGAAAGTTGGGGAGGAATTATAGAACACTGGCAAGAAAAAGGTTTAAGACTGATAATATGATGAACAGGGACATAAATAAATTTAGGAAGAGACTGATAAATAAATCACATGGATTGGAAATTCTGTTAAATTTAAGTTGGAAGCAGATACTGAGAAACATGGATATTTAGGAAGTAATATGTTCAGTGATCAACCTAAAGAGGTAACTTCAAAAGTAAATCAGTCTGGGTGACAAGGAACAGACTGTGAGCCATGAGAGTAAGTGGTGAAGTAGAGAAAAGGCAATCATTAAAGATGAGACGATCAATAAAACGCAAGGCCAAGGTTGTGGATGAATCACAGAAGTAACCAATGTGGGAGCTAAGGTGAAAAGAAAGACTTAAATCTAGAGCAAGGGTTCCACTTTAAATAAAGAAGACTGTCCCAGGGGTCTGCAAATGAGAAAGGTTTTAAGGTGGGGTATCTAGAGGACAAGAATGCCCAAAGAAATAGAGGGTTTTATTAAGTGTGTAAGTGACAAGATCTAAAATTCTAAAGATCCTAGAGGACATCAGCATCTGGGCCTGAAATATAGGGGGCATAAACTCCTAGTCCAGAGAGCAACTCCTCAGGATATCTGAAGCCCCCCACACACATTTTCTTTAAATATGAACACCATATGACCGAGCATAAGCAGATGTTTGGTATAGGAAGGTATATATTCTAACAACACTTTCTTTTAGAACTTATCAGCTGAAAAAAATTTCTCCTTAAATAAAATTATTACTTTTATATTTAAAAAAAAATCTACTTCACTTACTATTGGCAACTATAAAAGATTAAAGTATAATACTGGAAAATAAAAAAAGTAGCATCTTCCCTCAAAATGAACCAAATCCAATGACTGTGGAGAACTTTGAGGTTAAGGTTAAAAGGAGTAGAAAAGGCTATTTTTATATTATCCCTATGTATTCTTCCCTGTCTTAAGCTCAACATCAATTTCTGTGGGAAGTCTCCAAGCCCCAAATCTGAGGTCAGATGTCCTTATTATTTTTACACAGTACAGTACCTGGTTTTTACTTCTGTCAGAAAATGTACCACATGTGC